TTTTTCAGATCTCGTTGGAATCGTTCATATGTGTCTTTCAGCAATAAGAATTCTTCATATTTTAGAAGTCAATGTTTGTACACACTCAAAATTTCTAAGGAAGGAACAAAAAAGCCTCGTGAAAGCTTGAAGAATTTGAGTCATCTTCATCTCTTTTACACCCTTAAATTGATGTGCAGTCCAAGGTAACGAATTATGTGGTGTTGTTCCCTGGCTAATTATGTAGAACAAATTTTATCTGTTTTATTATTTTCAATTTACTTCGTGAAACTTCGTGTTGCAGCATATATGTTATTGATTTGGGATCTGCGCATGGCACTTTTGTCACAAACACAACTATAATCAATCAACTAATATCTTTAAACTTAATTCTTCGTGTTGTAGCATATATGAAATGAGATTTTTTAACATTGTTTACTTTTCTGATTTTCTTTCTTGTTAGGATGGAAAAAGCAATTTTTTATTACTGCCATTGGGGTGGAGAAACATTTTTGGTTGCCGATGGCTCTGTTCTTTACAAAGGGGTATTACCGATTCGATTTACGCATTTAATGGAATGAAATTTGAAGAATTGAAGCTATCAGTGTTTGATCGTTTAAAAGTAAATCTTAGTGGAAAATTTCGTCACTTTATTGTGAAATACTCTCTCCTTCCCAAAATTATTATCCATTTTGTCCAAAAAATTTCGTCCCAAAATTATTGTCCGATTTGACTTTTTAAGAATTAAGTTACACTTATACCTTTCCTACAATTTACCCAATGACCCCCGGATCATCACAGACTTTAACTCTATCAGAACAAAATCCGACGAAACCGAAACTGATCAATTCAAATAATATCCCCGATGACGGAAAAATACTTGGAGGAACATTAAATTGAAACTAATAATAAGAACATTCACAAAATTTGGATGAAGTTCTGTTTCTGGCTTGCAATTGAAAAGCTCTGTTTGTAATTTTCCGATGAAATAGAGCACGGTCTTCAGAAGCACCAAATTGAAAATTATAGTAGGAGGATTCTTCATTTGAAAATTTTGTTTGATTGCCGACGTCGGAGTGAAGAATAGATGATGAAGGCTGTATTCCTGTCTTTTCAATTTGGGTGCTCTGTAAATAAAGGTTGGGTTAGAAAGCTCAAAGAAGTTGATTCGATAAAGACAGAGGAGGATGCGATCGATTTTGAAGAAAAATCGAAGACGAAGAAGAATGAAGGATCGGAAACAGAGGATTAGAGGAGAAGAAAATCAAAACGAATTCGGAAGCAACGAATTTGAAGAAGGAGGAACGAACGAATCAGAGCGCAAAAGCATAAAATCGCAACAAAAAACAGTCAAGAATCGACGGATCAGACGACCAGAGAAGAAAGAAAAGGATTTAGGTTTCAGAGAATTGGAAACGACGAAAGTGGACAATGATTATGGGACGGAGGGAGTATGATCAGAAACAATTTATTCCCTTGAAGGTTGACTTTAGTGTGCAGATACTAATTGCTTGCAATGACGAGTATGCACATATCTATGCATCTAATTCAGGAACTTGTGTTCTATTGTCAGCAAGCACTAGCAATGACTTGTTTCAATTAGTTTTATTGCTTAGACATGTAAAAGTGTAAAACTTGTTTGACTTGTTTCAGAATTTTATGTCGTAATTCTTCTTAAACAGAACTTGATAATGAAAGGGCAATTCATAAAATGCCCAACTTTCAACCACAACTTCATGATTGGGTGTTGCAGAACGAACCGGAACATTGGAGCAATGCATTGTTTTCAAAACAACGTTGGGATTGGCTCAATAGCAATATCGCTGAGAGTTTCAATGCTTGGATAGGAGAAGCTAGTCATTACCCTATTGGGAAGTTGATGCAAGCTCATGCCGCAAAATATGCAGAGTTGTTGTTAAACAAAGTCCATGATATGAATTCTTGGAGAAATGGTTTTGGCAAGCGTATTGAGGACAGAATAAAAGAAAATATTGTTCGAGGTCAAGGCTCTAGTGTAAAATCACGACCTCCGTATGAATTTGAAGTTTATGAGCGTCGTAAAGGAGTGCTTGTTGTGAATTTCGCCCTCCATTCTTGCACCTGTATGGAATGGCAAATTACTGGAATCCCATGCCCTCATGCATGTTGTGCCATTCGGATGCACAATTGTAGTGTTTATGATTGTCTTTTTTACTATTACAGGAAAGAAGTTCACGAGAAAATTTATGCAAAACTGATGCCTGGCATTCCTACTATTGACATGCCTTTACCGGCTGATTTGAATGTTGCTAACCTTGAAGAAAATCAAGCACCAACAACTTCAGAATGTACATTGCTTCCTCCGAAGACAAAAAGACCATCCGGGCGACGTCGAAAGAAGCGAATTGAACCGCAATTCCTTAGCAAGACAATTTTACGATTCTCTCGCTGTAAAATTGGAGGCCACAACCATTCAACTTGCAAAGAACCACTTAATCAAGTCTGATTCATTTATGACAATGTCAAGCATATTGCTCTTTCTAACCTTTTTTTTTTTTTTTTTTTATGTTCGGTTACCAATTGCATTTTTAAGTCTTTTGCTTTTGATTTATTTTCTTTCAGTGGTGTAAGCTTAGTTTGGATAATGTTTGTCTTTGAAATACATTCAATTCGTGTTTACTTAACATTGCTATTATAATTTTGATCTTGTACGTCATTTGACTCAATAGGCTTCGGAGTTTGATTTCCCATTTTTTGTGTTGTCAAGGGTAGTTTTCGCATGAAAATTCAAATCAATCAAATAAGGTTGCATATCATAAGACAATGATCTAACCCAGGCTCCAATTGTTGGTCGATTCCCCTGTTGAAGAGAATTAAATAAGTATTTTTCCTATCAAAAACCTCTCTCGAAAGAATTAATTACAGTAAGGGTAGAATTGTCATGAAAATTAATTTTCTTATATTAAATCATTGCTACGCCTTTAGTAGGAAATTTAAAAATTTTATACACTTCCCAAGAATTATTAAACTTGCAATGTTCTTAATAAGAATTTTTCCTAAATGTTTTATACTTGGAAAGTTTTATATTTCTGTTATCTTTTATCCAGAAAAAATTAAATATAGTATCGAAGATGTAAACATGTGTACGCATAATTTTAAAAAAGTTGTGTAATGAACTAATAAATAGTGAACAACTGCATGCAACTGCTAAGTAAAAACACTCCAAACAGAACCTCGATTTATAATCACATAGATAACAATTCTCATACTATCTATAGTATGCATGATTTAGTTTCTATGAAATGTATTATTAAAATGGGACGGACTTAGCAGTGGCGGAGCTAGGATTTCATTGTAGGGGGTGCAAAATGAAACCACGAGATCAAGCATATTAAGTACTAAAAAAGACATAAAAAAAATAAAACAAATACTAAAATACCATATTTTTCTCATTCAAAAAAAGATTTAGCAAATTTCAAACTCTAATCAACATTTTGAGAATTTTTTTTTTAAAAAAAATGCTTTAGTAGTAGTTTAGTAATAGTATTTTATAAAGATTTGATGCTTGAATAACATTAAAAAAAAAAAAACACTAGAAGATGGGGATTTTTTTAAAAACCAAATTCTACTAAAAGATCCAATTTAAAAAACAGTGACAAACTATACTTGCTGGACTTTTACTTTGTACAATTTAAGAAATGAGTTTGAATTTATCAGCTCAAAATTGTACTATAATGGTTCATTTGAGCTTGAATTATTTTTTATTTATATAATTAAGACCGTTAAAAAAATAGTAAATTGTCATTGAAATGATAAGAAATACAATAATACATTTTTCTTTACAAAGTTTTGTAGTTAAAATTTTAATTAAGAAAAAATTATAACACTCCACAATATATAATATTATTAAAAATATTTTGTAGAGGGTGCAAATCATCTTTTTCATTTTTTTTCCATATAAAAAATATAACACTAATAAAATAAATATAAAACGGAGGGGCGCGACCGCACCAGGTGGCCCCCTCTCCCTCCGCCTCTGGGACTTAGTATTCTCCCAACTTTACTAATTGCACTTGTTAAATTTATTAGCACAGCCATCAGAACGAATAAATGAAAACGAAAAGAGCTAACAAAAGATTTTTTGTTTTTCTTTTGGACAGACAAACTATATTTAATTTTAATTTTTGACTATATTAGAAAAGACGAAGACATATGTTTAATTTTTTTTTTATATTCATTACATTCATTTGTCATTTGTTTTAGGTTATTCATAATGCGGACAAAATTAAGAGTGTTCTAGAAAGTTTTTTTTGTCCTTAAAAAAAAGGACGAAGAAGAAGAATGAATAATTTTAGTTCTCCACATTTATAAATTTGGGGTAACTCTGTTTGGTTCCTTTTTTGGTAGTTTTTTTTTCATAATTTTTAATTAATAGATTTTAAATTTAAATTTTTTATTTTTGTATTTTTCAATCTCATTATATCTTTTCACATTTCTAATATCTTTTTTACATATAAAATTAAAAATATATATATAAAAACAGACATTGGAAAAACATTTCAAATTGACATTCATTAGAAGTAAGGCCTCTTCTAGCTCAAGGAATATGTGTGTTGAAAGTTGAAACCAAGACCGTACGAGGAATGAAAAAATTATTAGATGCAGGAGTTATAATTAAGTGCCTTTTCCCCAGTGCAACCGATACACTAAATAATGGGCCAAGTCTTTAAGAAAAAAAATTGGGAGACATTTTATCGTCTTTGGGCAATATTTTGCTTTTTGGAGGTCACTACCAAATAACCAGGCAAAACAACGCCTAACTGTTCAAAGATTGCGAGCTATTGTTTCTTTTTCTTTCTTTAGTTTCATCAATCTAATACTAATATATATGAGGGGCGCCCACTGGTATCGAATTAAATAAATCTTTTGTTTTTACCAAAAGAAATTTTCACGTCGTTATCAATTATGGGAGGAAAAGCGGAAACCAAACTACATTAAAGATTGTTTTCCATACAAAGGTACTCCAAATGAGCAATGACTATAAACGCAATTTTATTTTGCTAATATTTGTACTTAAGTGCACTATAGTAAGTTACTTGATGATATTGTTCTCCATTTGCGTGGGTTTTTATACCACTTAAATTCCTTTTCTTCGTCTTTCTTCTTTTTTTTTTCATTATTAATTACACATTACCTCCCAATCGTTTTCACTTATTTATTGCAAAACAATAAAAGATCAGGTAAGACATCACATGAATCTATCATCAAAATATAAGATTGATTAAAAAAAAATTGAACGAATTCAAATGAAAATTAGTTACAAAATGTACGTGGATTTTAAATTGTTTTATTGATACAAATCATAACATTAATTGAGATATAAAAATGAGTAATAATCTAAAAACACATCTCTTCCGATAAAAAAATCTTTTGCTAAAATTATGTACTCCTACTTAGTAGTAAAAAGGAAAAAAAAAAGTTTCTCCAACTACACCTCTACCTAACACCATCCACACCAACCACACCAAACGGAGCCACCAACTCCCGCTCCACTTTCCTCCATCATCATCATCACCAAATTTACATAAATTCACGTTAACTAAATTCAAATTCAAAACTCCAATTCCCCTGCTTTCTTTCTTGGTAGGAAAAAAAAATGGCTTTACTAGTGATAATTCTCTCAACTACCCTTATCTTCCTAGCCTATAAGCTATACCAACGGCTGAGGTTCAAGCTTCCGCCGGGCCCCCGGCCGTTACCGGTGGTCGGAAACATATACGACATCAAACCGGTGAGGTTCAAGCAGTTCGCGGAGTGGGCCAATATCTACGGCCCAATATTCTCTTTCTATCTGGGCTCACAGCTGAACACGGTGGTGACCACGGCGGAATTAGCCAAGGAAGTTCTGAAGGAGAATGATCAACAATTGGCGGATCGGTACCGGAGCCGGCCGTCGGCGAGAATGAGCCGGAACGGTCAGGATTTGATCTGGGCCGATTATGGGCCTCATTATGTTAAAGTACGTAAGCTGTGTAATCTTGAGCTTTTCACTCCAAAGAGGCTTGAAGGGCTAAGGCCTATTAGGGAAGAGGAGGTTTCTGCCATGGTTGAATCCTTTTACAGAGACGCCATTAAACCAGGTAAAAAAAAAAGAAAACCTTTTATGTTGGTTATCGTGGTTTTACGGTTAGAAGAGTAACTTGCAGTCGTTGTGGCCCCAGTGAATTTATTGGTATACAGTAGTACTTCCTCTGGGGAAGAATTTAGATTTGAAGTATACGTTTATGGCAAATTCATTTTGTATTGTTTTGGTACATCTTTTAGCGTGTGCGTGTCTCTTTTTGTTTCTTACCGTTTCCGAGCTGATTTTTACCTTTTAGAAATGTACGTTGGTTCAGGAAGAATCGGATTTTCGTTTTCAGAACGGAAGTGATGAGTCATGTCAAATTAATTTGTCGTGTTCAAAGTTCATGAATAGTAAGGTCCTAAGATAAACTTCATGAATGGTAAGATTCTAATATTAATCATCGACTTTTTCATTGATAGTGGAGATAGGAGAGTGAAACGGGCGAAAGCAATTTTTACAGGCAGCAAATCTTATTATTATTGTTACACATGTGATTTATTGGTACTGTGGTAACTTTGTGAGAGAGTGAACAAATAGGAAGAAGAGTTTATATACTAAAAAAGAAACAATATTTTTCATCGAGTCACGTAACCAAGGAGTTGGTGAGGTATCGTTTGGTGGAGGAAATGGGCTTGATAAAATTGACTTTTCCTTTCGGATCATGTGGAGTGTATTGGTCCCACTTCTCCTTTTTGGGCGGCCAATGATAATCTTACCATCCATGCTTCCAATTACAAATTGATCACATCTTCAAGAGAAGAGAAAACAATAATGATGAGGATATTATAGGCAAGATTTTACTGAGGTTATGTTTAGATGGTTTTTTAAGTATGTTTTTTATTGGGAATGCAAAAAAGTATATTAAAAATATAAAATTTTTTTTTAAGAATGTGAAAAAATATGTTGGGATGGGATAGATATTAATTAAAAATTTTGAAAAAATGAATGAAAAAACGAAGCAAATAAAGCTTGAGAATTTCATTTGCTTTTCCAAAAAAGAATAAAAAATACAAATACAGTACTAATAACAACAATGAAATCCATTTTCTTATTCACTATTCACTATTCAGCACTTATAATTGAAGAAATACATTTCTTGATATATTATTATAATTCTTCGTTGCTTTAGAATGGGCACAATATGGCATGCGACTTTTTTTGCCCCACTCTTGGTAATACCAATTAAATATTAGAAACTTATCCATTATATCTATTACGTTAATGTTCAATTATTATTAGATTGGAGAATTAGTATTAATTCCGTTGTAACCAGCATTAATATTATTAATTATTATATGGGCTTAGTGTCACAGAAAGTTAACAGTAGAGGAATTGGTTAAATTTTGCATCAACCTCCCCGAGGTTTGGTCAAACTACATAGATCAGCTTCCAGTTTTTACAAGAATCCCTTTGGTTTGGCTTTCACTGTGTTTTAAAATTTTGTAATGATATATCCCCTTTCATCACATTCTGATGAGTTAGTTAGTTATAGACTTGCAGTAAATTATATTATTTAGCAGAGAATATTTTGGTGAACAACTTTACACTTAGAAATTACTACTCTTTACACATCTAGTGAGGTGACTAGTTGAGGATATCTTTAAGGCTTCAAATGGTAATTGCATCCAGCACAAAGTTAAATTCATTGGATGGAAATGTCTTCGTTATAGTATACCATCTGTTGTTTTCATTTGTCAACATATGATGAGAAAATAGGGTGAAAGCTGAAACATTTTACTGAAATTTTACACGACCAGTTTGGCTACTAAACTGTTCTAGATAACAACTCCTGACATTGAGTTGATACTAGTATTTGCTCCATTAGATGCTTACTTTAACTTTCAATTCTTTCAATAACCTTCTACTTCAAGCCAAGACAGAAAAAGTTAATCCTAATGTATGGTATTGCTTGACATCTCAGAAAATGCTGGAAAAAGTTTGGTGATTCGCAACTACTTGGGACCTGTAGCATTCAACAACATAACTAGGTTAACATTTGGAAAGAAATTTATGGATTCTGAGGGTGTGGTGAATGAACAAGGCCAAGAATTTAAGGGAATCGTTTCCAATGGCCTCAAAATTGGAGCGAAACTTCCCGTGGCTGACTACATTCCTTGGCTTCGATGGATGTTTGTGCGCGAAAATGAGGAGCTCGATAAACATAATGCTCGGAGAGACAGACTGACCAGAATGATCATGGAAGAGCACACACTTGCAAGGCAAATGACTGGCAACACAAAGCAGCATTTTGTTGATGCATTGCTCACACTTCAGAAGCAATATGACCTTAGTGATGACACCGTCATTGGACTCCTCTGGGTAAGTGATCCTATTTCCGCGTTCTATTTAGATATGTTTTCATACTTCTACAGGAAGTGTTAAGAACTTGAGAATAGATTTTATACTCGTAATCCAAAGGCCTGAATGAGGATGGCAAAACCAAATAAAAGAATACTATCATTAGTCATCTTAGGCTGTGAATGTGATGGTCCATTGGCCTTTTACTTAAGATCAGCTATATGAAGTATATGTTGCTATGTGCTTTTTCTTGATACATTTTCATTTTCTGCACTTTATATAAAAGCTTTTATAGAAACGATTCTGTCCTGTTGCTGAAAATATTCAAGAGAAATGAATATTTCCTTTCAATTCCATATCCGGTCAAGGGAAGAAGGTTAAAGAAGATTATGAAATGTTGAGCGCGAACATGGTTTGCATTCCACACGCAAACTAACAAATCTAACTGTGCAGGACATGATTACTGCTGGCATGGACACAACCACCATATCAGTTGAGTGGGCTTTGGCCGAGCTAGTAAAGAACCCAAGGGTGCAGCAGAAGGCACAAGAAGAACTTGACCGTGTGATTGGCACGGACAGGATCATGACGGAAGCTGATTTTGCTAGACTTCCTTATCTGCAATGCATCACCAAGGAAGCTCTAAGGCTACACCCTCCCACTCCCTTAATGCTCCCACACAGAGCGAATGCTAATGTCAAAATCGGTGGTTATGATATTCCAAAGGGATCTGTTGTACATGTTAACGTTTGGGCCATCGCCCGTGATCCAACAACCTGGAGAAACCCATTGGAATTCCGACCCGAGAGATTCCTGGAGGAGGATGTTGACATTAAAGGACACGATTATCGGCTGCTTCCATTTGGCGCCGGAAGAAGGATCTGCCCCGGCGCTCAACTTGGACTCAATCTGGTATCTTCAATGTTGGGGCACCTGTTGCATCATTTTACTTGGTTGCCACCACCGGGCGTCAGGCCTGAAGAAATCGACATGGAGGAGAGCCCGGGAGTAGTGACTTACATGAAATCCCCCTTGCAAGCTGTTGCCACTCCTAGGTTGCCAGCGCACTTGTACAATCGCGTTGAGCTTGAGATATGATATACCTGTATCCCCTGTTCTATCTACTACATCTTTTGCTTGTAAGAGAGTTTGTTCAATTTCCTAGGAATTAATGAAGCTTTTGACTGAATGCAGGTTGAACCCGATTTTCAGCAGTTTTAGATTAGTACTTTCTGTGAATTTAGATTATGAAATCGTGCCGCAACAGTGGAAAGATGACATTTCACTACTCTGTTTGTCTAAATTAAATAAAAAAATAATTGAATTAAACCAATAGAAATGAAAATGAGAAATTGAGATTTTAATTCAATCCTTCTTTGTCTGGGAGATCTTCTGATCACTCAAGAACAACTTTAGAAACCCCACCATAGTGCGGAAGGATAAAAACCAAAGTACTTACTTCAATGGACATAGTAATACTAACTTTTTCTAAATTTTTCAATTGTTTCTAAAGCCTAAACAAACTTCTATCCTTCATCCCCAACGCAGAAATTAAATCAAACAAACTCCCCGAAATTTAACAATTAATTGTCGTAATCATAACTTCTGTAAATCAAGTCCTCGTGCTCAAATTGATCAAGCTCCTTGAAGTTCATCCAGGGCTGCTCCCAAACTTTGGCTTCGTAGATTTTCTTCTCGCCACCATCCACTGCCTCCAGAACAAGATCATACATTATACCGTCAACTCCGGTTTCCAAAGCGTCAATCACTCTAACGAATTCAAGAAGTGCATTCTGAAATCAGAAAAGTAAGAAGTTGAGAAATCTGAAAACTCAAGAATAAGCTACTCGAGAAGGATACACTTTGTTGGCGATCTGGGTAAAAAGATTACCAGTAAACTGAAATTTCTTGGGTTTTTTCCAAGATCAGAGGGGTAAATAGACTAAACTGTATAAATAGTCTCCTATATTTGACCGAATTTAAATTTTAATCCCCTACATCAATATGTATATGGAGTGAGGTTTTACATTTCATTTTGAAACTATTTTGGTCCATTTTCACTATCTCGTTCGGACTTCCGTTACTGTCGAGGGTAAATTCCAGAGGCGTGGAATTGACGGTCCAACTCGAACGGAAACCTGCAAGACGGGGTTTAACACTCTTCGAGTGCTAGAGAGAGAATTGGCAATTTGCACACTTAGAGAGAGAAACAACCGTGTGAAAATTGCCTTTGTAATAAATGTACAAGGAGTATTTATAGGTCCTAATGGGACAATACTTCTGGACCCCCACGTTAAGGGGCAAATACGTAAATAACCATGAGTAATCCCTAAAAGGGGCGACTGAGCCTTTAAGGGAAAGGACTGGACTGCTTGGGCTTATAGTCAGGCCCAAGTTGTGGAATCAATTTGGGCTGGTCAGGTTTGGACCCTCATTAAGTGCCCTTGTCAAGCCCAGTTTAGCAAAGTCGGACTGGGCTTGACACAAAGGAATTCCCAGCCCAATGGGTCAATCCCTTTTTCAGAATATTCGGACGGGGGGTGTCCTAGATCCAACGCTCCTGGATTCTTCCCGCCTAAACCGGTTGGACGCATGGGATTATCTGGGAGGCCGCGTTGCAATGATGGCGCCTGGTGGAGAATCGAGGGGACTGTTCAGTTCCAGTGAAGTGTATAAATCCCCCCTTTGGGCACCTGAAACCATTTTCCTCCTTTTTCCGTCCAGACTTAAAAAATCAACACCTTTTCCTTCTTCTTCTTTGCGAAGTGGTGTAGCGATAACGTCGAGCACCAGAACTTACAGCAGGCGGTGACCAATCTCAGTTTCAGAGTAACCAACAACGTGTAAGTCTTTTCCCCTTTCTTGGATTCGTTTTCCAGTATGGCTAAGGAAGTAGTCAAAGTAGAAGACGTTCAATGCTCGTTGAACCAGGATAGATTAAATGACTTAGAAAACTATTATAGCTTTACGGCCATCCACCCCATCTTGCCAGAGGTCTTTGAGAGAGCCAATACTCCTCCTCTGGGGAAAATTACTATTTATGAGAAGTTTTTGGAGTATGGGCTGCATTTTACCCTTATGCCTATATACAGAACAATAGTAGAAGCCTACGGCAGACCTCTAGCCCAATACACCCCTAACCTCATAACCATAGTATTGGCCATCGTCCACGTGTAACAAGACGAAGGTAGAACCGGATCTTTTCTTGTTTAGGTACTTCTACAAATCCCAATGGTCCTCCTAAGGAATTGGTAGCTAAGAACGAAAGTTCTAAGCATTGGAGATTGGGCTTCTTTTATGTAGACTCGGATTTGGCTGACCTTTATCCGTGGAAGCCGGACGAGGGAGGAAAAGTCAGTTTAGATCCGTGGACCAGAAAGGACAAGAAGGAGATGGAGGCTAAGAAAGCAGACCTAGAGAAACTGGTCAGGTGGAAGAAGACTTATAGATATGGACAAATCGCGTCATTGAGCGACACGATTAGCTCTCGTAACCAAGGTATTTCACCCGAAGACTAACTTTGGCTACTTTTCTGTTGGTAGATATATTTGCTCACCTGATGGATAAACGCTCGGCTTTTGATGATTCAGACGAGGAGGAACCATCCCCAGAGAAAAGGCAACAAGAAACTCCTCAGCCCGCAGTGGGACAAGCACCCACTAGTCAACTGACGAGGGTGCACGCAGAAGGGTTGAGGAAGAGGACACTCTCGATCCAAGCCGCGGCCCATCAAAAGAGAAAACGGGGGCGCCTGAGGTGGTAAAGGTCGACCCTCTATCGTACAGCTTGCCCTCAATCCACGAAATGCCCTCCATCGACGAACTATTGAAAGAGGGGTATGAAGATCAAGGGCAAGTTGCGGGTCACTTCGAGGGTATACCCGAGGGCCATGCTCTACTGACGTTCGACCCCCCGGGTCTAATGTGTAGATGTGCCTGCCTCAGATGCGCCGCATTTGGAGGACGGCATGAAGCAAGTAAGTCCCCTTCCCTCGTTTTTAAGTTTGACGTACCCGAGGGTAAACTCTCCTAACCGAATCTTCCTCGTCGGGCAGGCCGTGCAGGCAATAGGCTCCTTCGTGACTGTGTGCACGAACTTGGAGCGACAGCTGGCCTCGGCTAGGAAGAAAGCCACCAGCGAAGCATCTAAGGCAAGGGACGCCGGCGCGTCTTCAGCCTTCGGTGGAAGAGAAGAGGTAGCTGGAGGAGGACCTCTTGGCGATGAAGGGGCAATTCGAAGGTGCGAAGATGGCCCACAACCTTCAGATTGAAAACCTCCAGGTGACAACCATCCCCAAGTCCGACTTGGACAAGTACATTCTCGTAGGAGTGCAGCGGTACTTGGGATCGTCCGAGTTCGCCCTCGGTATCAACGACGTCATGGACCCTACGATAGAAAGGGGAGCCATGAAGGTTGTCTTGGAGATAGAGGCGGCCCGAAGGAAGAATGAGGACATCCAACCAATCCTCGACAAATACGCCGACAGGGCGATGAAAGGAAGGACGTCCGTAGTGAGGCTGCGGTGCAAGGTGCGAAAGCATTTTCGCGACATGAACTTCGTCTTGCTTCCCATAATGCAGCAAATTACCGAGGCTTGCTCCTCTGTCTCCAAGCTTGAGGACATTTCCGATATTCCTGGTAGCCCTTTGTTCGTCTTTCAGATGCCGAGGGGAATCCAGACGCCCCCGGGGACACTGCCAGGGCCGAATGAGAAGCTGGAGACGGTTGAAGCTGCATCGCCCCCCCGAGAGGAACATATACTCAAACCAAGATTGTGAACATAAAGGGGCTTGGTATGTTACAAAATACTTACCAACTTCAGGCTGTCTGCCTCTGTCAGAGAAGTGGAAAATTCCACTAGCAGGGGATAGTCGATTCTGGAAAGATCGCTGAAGGTATAAACCGCGGCTGAAGGGCCTCCCTTAAACAGCTGAGCAGGCAGAACGGTCACATTCTCCTCGAAAGGGCCCTTACCTTTATCCTCTACAGGAGGCTTCATACTTGGCCCTGATTCATTCACTGTTTGTGTCTCCTCCTCGACGTAGGGTGGCACCTTAGGCTCCTTGATAACTGGGGGAATGTCTTCTCTCCCTGTTTTGCTGACTCTGTTCTCTCCTTGGCGGAAGTGTTAGTCTTTGGTTTCTTTCTCAGCACTTTCTCGGAATCCTTCACGATTCTCTTTTTCTTCTTCTTCTTCTTCACTATAGTTTTTGTTGTTGACATCTCTTCGTCTGAGTTCACAACATTAAAGGGGTCGGAGTCACCATAAAGTCCGGAAGCAACGTTTCCCGATGACATGACCTAAAAACAACACAGAGATAATAAGAGATTAGTACCTTTCTTCTCCTTGACAGGAACCTCGAAGACGTTAGTAACTTCTTTCTCCTCGACAGGAATAGCGGGGATGTAATGTTGCACATCGCTCCACTTAACCACTTTGGACTGTTTCTCGAGTTTCTTTAAGTCCTCCGCAAGCTCCTTGATCTTTTCTTTGTCCTCGCCCATCCACTCATCCTTTACTGCCTCGAAGTTGTTGGTTTCTCGATAATTCCAGTCAACGGACTACTTTTCAAGCGCTTTTACATATAGAAAGTTTGGTTTCCATATAGGAGAACTGCCATATGCCTCTACTATCTTCTTGGTACCTGACCTAGGGTTCTTCTTCAAAATATACCAATATTGGAAGGACGTCAAGGGTATAGATACTTTAAAGAAATATCTCCACAGAATCAAACAAGGCTTCACTTTCGCTCGTTGACATATTCTCGTGAAACCGAGGACATGTGTTATCAGATTTGGTGTAAATCAGGCCAGGGGGGGTTTGTAGTGTTGAATAATCACCTCGAACAAAGGAAAAAGGGGGAATCTCAACCCTAAGTACATAAAGTGGTTATAAATGGTAATTTTCCTTCGGGAGGAGAATTGGCTCGTTCAGTACCTAAAGGGGTGTAGCTTCTAGATCTGGGGGCAAATCATATCTTGTTTTTATAGCCTTTACCTTATCATCGGAATCTATGCTGGAAGCAAAATCTTCGACGGTTTTCAGATCTAGGTTCCTAGCCATGATTCTCTACTTACAATAGTAAATCTAGATCTACACTGAAATTCGAAAAGCAAAAGGCCAAAAATGAAACTGAGATGGACAAGTCTGGAAACTTACTGTTGAAATGAGTTTCCACTCCCCTTTTGAGTTGTAGCCTCCCAAAATTGCAGCGGACTCCAGGGCGGCACCCTCTGGAAATTGTTATTGGGGTAGTTAAATAGGTCGTCGGCAGAAATCGAGATAGCTTTCTTCAACTGTGTCTCTCCTCGGTCCGGCAGGAATAAACACTTCCGGCGATGACAACTCGGGCACGACGGCACTTATGGGGGAAATTCGATTTTCACAGAATGAGTTTTGAGAGCAAAGGAGAATTATTTCTCTTTTGGAAAATAAAATGGGGAAGAAGAACGAGTCTAGAAGACTTTATGTACTGGCGTTACTGCCCACGACTTGACAGTTTGGGCAAGCTTCAAGGAAGCAGCAATGATGAAGGTGCCGCCGTCTGGGGAACTTACCCACTAAAGACGCGTGAATTGATGTTTTGGGTGGGATCCTGAAGCGGGTCTCTTCTCGGTTCGGATCTTGACCAGTGAACAATGCTATCAGGCCTAGTCGATGTACGTTGGGCCAAGACTTGCTCAATCAATTTGGGCCGAGTCCAGGTATTATTTATGTTACGTCAATTCTTGTTTATTTCATTCAACTAATACTTGACAGGGGCACTTGACGAGTCCATATCCACCAAGGATCATTGGACCGGCCCTTCTGCCAATTATGGTCCAACTGACTTCATAGAGGCGGTTCCTTAGTACGAAACCTAGTAGGATTCAGACATCTATCAGGTAATCCCATGCCTATAAATAGGGTTGATTACACCATATTTGAGGTACACTATCTCTAGCACTCATAACCGATTACATATTTCTCCATAACCCTATATCTGACTTAAGCATCGGAGTGTCTACCATCGAAAGACCCCCGAAACTTTATTTTACAGAAAACTCTACCGGAGTTTCACCATTAAGCCGGTAATACAATTTCAGGCTTCGTCAGATGTAGCAAAAAAGGTGAAATTATTACTGAGTAGTGGGACCTACTAAGAGTGAAAAGTTGGAGTTTTTGAATTTTTTTATTTTTTATCTTTAAATAATATTTTTATTATTAATAGAATATGTAATTTCCTTTTGTACGTTGTATTCCAAAAATACCCCTAGCCCAGGTGGGTAAACGGTCATTGTGACGGAAGTCAGAACGAAATAGTTAAAATGGACCAAAATAGTTTCAAAATGAAATGCAAAGGCTCACTCCATATACATGTTGATGTAGGGGACCAATATTTAAATTTAATCAAATGTAGGGGACTATTTATTCAGTTTAGTAGGGATAAATAAACAACAAATACACAGACACACGAATAATAATAAAAGAAAAACACCTCCTTATTGTTGTATTCTTGAAGAGCAAAACGGCCAAACTTTTCAAGTTCTGCTTGATCTTCTGAGTAATTGTGGGTCCACCACAACGACGGCCACCCTTCACGTTGATGAATATCAAACCCTTTTCGGATAAATGAAAATCTACATATTCAATTTATATTGAATTGAAATCGAAGACAAGAAAAGTTTTTGTTCTCGTATATGGAGAGAAAAATTAACTGCTTTTTTCCTAAACCGTATTGTAGACTTGTAGTTTGATTAGCTTTTACAAAAACCCAAAAAAAAAAAAAAGAAGGAAAAATTAATTATTTGTCTTTGTTATGATTGACTTGTTTTGCACTATAAAATAGGAGTACAATACCACAGGTGCAGAAAATAGAGTACAAGATTTATTATTATTATTATTATTATTATTATTATTATTATTATTATTTTGGTTTTACTTAGCATTAGTTAATTATATATACTGTGCAAGAAAGTAATACTATTTACATAGCTGATCCCTCGCACTGATACAAAGCATATATATAAATGACTGTCTAATCTACGCGAATTTTACAATCAAGTCCAAACCCTTCAACTTCAAGAATTGAGAGATGTTGCAATGTACGTTTCATTAAGCGGAAAACTAATGAGACAATTCCAAATTGTGGCACACCAAATGGAAGGAAAACTTTATGGAATGCTTTTACATTAATGATTAAAGAGTACACGGACTCCCATGCCGTGCATACTATCAGTTTAGTTCAATACATATATTTCTCTCCATTTGCTTCAACAAAGTTAACTAAAAGTGCAAAATATTGTCACTTATTCAATATTGTACAGCTTTGTGTTTTTAGGTATTTTTTGTATTGAAAATATAAAAAAATGTGTTAAAAATGTAAAATGGTACGCATAGATAAGACAATTATTAATACATTAATTTAAAAAAATCATCAAGAATGAAACAAACAACACCTTAGTGCTTATTAATGTTAAGACATGTCTCCCTAAGTAACAGTCACATTGAGCTCATAAAGTTCCGTACGTCTTTTGTCCTAGAAAAAAATAGTTCGCACTGGAATTTGTGATTTGTACTGTTTTTGTTTCAAATTTTAAAATTCAATATAGACTATTTTTTGGAATGGAGAGATTATATAACAAGGGGTTTAAACTAGATCATTCTCAGTACTCACATATCTAATGAAAAAAACGAAAGAAACAGGGTTCATTAGATTCCCTGAACCCCGGGAGGTGGTCTCCCATGCAAATAATAGCGACAAAACAGTGCTACCATATAGTAAGAACATATAGGAATTTCATTTAACTAAAATAATAATGATAAATTTCCGAGGTAAGCATCATTTGCAGCAATAATAGTAAATTCCAAGGATCCAATACAACTGCAAGTAAGTGTTTCAACAATTAACGAAAAGAAGACGGCCCTTTTAATTTGATTTACAGAAGAAGCATAAATGTTCGTTGCAGGCGAAGGCAAGAGAAACCACTTCAATTTTGTATTTTCCTAGTAGCTCTAAAGCCTAAACACATTTCTTTCTACTATCCAGCATCAACAAAAGCAGAAAGAAAGCAAACTCCTTGAAGGTGATAAAAAATGATACTTATAACTTTTATTGATCAAGTTCTTGTGCCTAAATTCCGTCAGCTCCTTGAAGTTCATCCATGGCCGCTCCCAAACTTGTGCGTGATAGATTTTCTTCTCACCAGCATCCACTGCCTCCAGAGTGTAATCATACAAGCAACCAGCAACTAGCGTTTGGCAACTGCGAATCACTCTCCCGAATTCAAGCAATGCATTCTAAGAATTAGCAGTACAAAAAGGGTTAGTAATCAGGAAGTTTGTACGAAATGAAACAGCAACTTCAACCTGTGGTAGTCCCCGAAGCAGAAGATCAAATCGACGGCAATGAGGTTTTCTGTCCTGGTGTTGACCTTGATCAGGCTGTGATGCAGCACGTGATGGAGTTGTGAATATGTACATAGATTAGATTGCAAATAATGACGTGGAAATACATGTAAATAATGTACAGCTGGCAGGTGTTAGTTTTAGTAGTTACTGTACAGAATTAGTTAGCATTAGTTCTATAAATAGCTTAGCTTAGAGGTTACGATTAATTAATTCATTCGGATAATAATACAGAAATTTCCAGAAGAGCTTTCCCCCTTTTTCTTCCATTTCGATTTCTAGGGTTCTTTTCAAAGTTACTCCAGAGTCCAGAAGGATAAAAATCATAATGCTGAATCGCAACCAGCTTCTAAAGTGTTGTATTAGTAATTTCTAAATACCCAAGATTGTGTGTGTGTGTGTATGTGTGCGCGCGCGCGTGTGAATTTCTTAACCGTATACTATGATTTTTTGTTGTTGATAGATTTTTGCTAAAAGAACTAAGATACAGTAAAAAGTAAATATCACCAGCAAACGCAGCTTTCGTGTGGCTTTTCAAGATAACCTTAACAAAATGAATAAACCATAAACAAAACCCAATTAAAAAAAAAATTGATTTTTAAATACCTCCTTATTATTGTATTCTTGAACAGCAAAACGGCCTAGCTTTTCAAGTTCTTCCTGAGTTCCTCCGTAAGGGGAAGTTCCACCCATCTTCATCCTAATCAATCCCTTATCCGATGCAGAAAAGGTCCAACTTTTATTAATAAATCAAAAATCGAAGACAAGAAAATTAGGGTTCTTCTGATCGTGGAGATTTTGATTTTGTCCCAGTATCCTGTGCAAGAAACAAACTGACTAATTTAACCCTCGTACCTATACAGTACAAACTATTTATGAATAAATATATCGAATTTACAATCAAAGTCCAAATACGTATCGAGTTTGGATTTTCATTTTTTGTTCAATTTGTACTAACGTTAAAAATCTAAACTGAACAATAATTTTGAGACACAAGCAGTATTATTTTATCACCTATATAAAGTCGTTATCAGGCAGGATATGATTTTCGTGCCTAAAATTAAGTAAAAAAGGCAACTTTATTTTATATATATATATATTATATATATATATATATATATTATATAGGGATTTTCTAGAGTCCCGTAGCTCATTTATACGGAACCGTCCCGTATTTTTTCAACCAATCAGAATTGAGGGTACAAAATTTATTCATGTGGTGAGTAACATGCTAACATATCTCAAAATAAATTTTATTAAAATAATTTTTTTAAAAAATTAAGTAAAACCTGTTAAGCAGGTTGTTTACCGGATAAAAATGTTTAAAAATTATTTGTTAAAATTTACACATCAAAAACCATTTTACTTAACTTTCGGAAAAGTTGTCTACCACTTTCCAGTTGCCTTTTTCTTTTTCTTTGGTGAACAAATTACTTCAAACGGGTGACTAATTTACATCCAAAATGCTTCTAGCATCGTCTTGCAACAATATGCTAATGCTATTAGGGACTCTTTCACTAAGCAAGCATCTTTCTTCTACACTAAAACCTAGAGCCGATTTGGCTAACGGATCGGGCAAAAATTATTGTCTCGGAAGGTATGTTCTATCCTGAATTCCTTTTCTGAGACAAGGATCTCTTGGATCTCGTTTAGCCATGAATTCTCCCGAGCTTCTGCAACCATGCTCCGGATCCCTTCAACAGCTACCAGTGAGTCAGACTCAAAAATTACTTTTGAGTGACCTAACTGCTTAGCAATTCTCATGCTCTGTAGGAATTTCTTTTAGTTCAGCCCTTTAAACTGGGCAATAGCCTATTCGCTCTTGAAAGGCTTTCAAAAATCTTCCCTTGTTGTCCCTGATAATGCATGCCACTGCCGTTTTCATGTTTTAAGCAACTGTGGAAGCTGTGAGGTGCCAATTATCATGTTTTATGGTCCTTGTACATATCTTTCAATCAAACTCTATCCGGGGTACTCAGGTCTGTTTTGACTTTTATGGTTTGCTACACGGCTTTACGGATTGTTCAAAATTCGATCAAAGCAAGATGAGTTCACTGGTTGCTTGTTGAAAATGCAGAAAATCAGATTGGGCTCCTTCTATTGAAAAGTCTGTTTCTCATAGCTTTAGAACTATTTTCCAGAATTTGCTTTTATGATAATCTTCTTCATTTAGTGTAGTTTAATGCATTGTTTACGTATTGTAAAATGCATTCGTAGTTTGACCGAAAACTTGATTTGAACATGATAACCACTTTCTGAAAATCTCTCCTGCGGTGCTGTTTTCAGAGAATCGTTTCTCTCCTTTCTTGAACTGTTTTGTGAGACTTCTTTTGGTGAATACTCTCTATGTTTATTGGAGTTTACTACAGAATTACGGATTGTAAACTGGAGCTATAGATTGCCCGAAAATTAGATTTGAACTTGATAGAGAATCTGAAATTTATGAACTTCAGTTCTGATGTTCTGTTTTAGGGAGCATTTTCCTCTTGAAGTTTGAACTTCTTTTCTTAAATTCCTTACATGAAGCAATTCTTTGTTCATCCTAGTTTATAACGGTTCTGATGGCTCACGAATTAGATTTGTGGTTTGATGAAAAATGTATTTTGAATATGACCTTGGCTTTTACATTGTATTTCTCATACTTTCAATCTGCTTCCACAGGTGCTCATCCAAATTTTTCTTTAGTTCTTTCACTAAAGTCTGCAGAAAAAAAAAATACTAAATGCTGCTCTAGAAATCAGTTATTAAGGAAAGGAATCCTGAGCTCTTACTTAAAAAATGAACTCAGCTGACATTTTGCTCTATTAGTTTCTGGAGTTTGATGCTGATGTTTTATAACTTGGATAGTGCATATTTAATTCGTGTAAGATTTTTCAGTTTCATGAGACATTTGCTTTCAGTTTTGCATGCTTTGGATGCCAGCATGCATTAAAGTGATAAAACATCGACAAATCATAGCTCAGGCATGTTTGTGTGATATTTAAAACTTACTGCTACGGGCTTTATAGATATTGCATACAACATGAACTGAGTGATTTGTTATTCTAAATAAACAAAAGGTTTCTTGAAATTTTTAAAGTAAAATCTGCTTCATTTACAACAATTTGCTCTGTATTTGATTATACATGATTTCTCTGAAAATAACTCAAATGAAAAAATTCTGTCAAAATGAAGTAGAACTACGGAATTCTTGAAAAACAAAATGCAAGAGGCAACAATGTTGTACCTTATTAGAGAAACTCGTCAATTGTATCTGACAAAATAAAAGCACTGCAATAGCAAACTATAAAAAATAAAGCTACAACTCTTGTTTGAGTTTCCTCCTTATCATAATCCTATTCTGTTTTTGTATCCCCCTAGTTTTTATTGCTTTGTTACGGAGTTGAACTTAAAAGACACACCCAAAACCGTTTCTATATACTCCACGAAAAGAAAGACCCTCTCAATGCAGTATGCTACTGCACATTCTAAATCAAGATCAAAAGCATAATCAGTTGTTGTACATATCTCTGGCCTTGCCTCCACACTCCACCATCTCCGACCACCATAACTTGTATAACTACCACTCTTTATTAGATATTCGGAGCAATACACCTCTGCAACAAACGACTCCATTGTCCTCTCTGCAAAAATTTCCCAACAAACATAAGCCTCATCCCTCGCAGCTTTCTCAGAGCAATTTCTGGATTGAACTTGCAGAGATTCTTGTTATCTGTCAAAAGCATTTCAATTTATTATATAGTTATCATGATGGTCTCATTTCATGTAGCAAGATAGAACTCTAAAGTTTCTAAGAATAAGAGGTTGAGCTGTGCAACATTACTTCATAATTGGCAATTAGCTATATAAGCAAGGAACAATACTACTTCCAGATGCATTGCTTTTAGAGTCATCCCAAGCTCAACAACTATGACATAGCCACAAGAATATGAATTCATGAAGATACATGAATACAAAGATACCCAAATTTTGGAAGATTGTTTTCCAGTTACAATATTGAAAGTGCTTCATTTTGCATAAGCGCAAATGGCATTATTGTCTAAAACGCTTCAAATAAAAATGGCTCACTCCAAATATGGAAGTAGTTTTAGGGTGGAAGTGCTTCACTGCATCACTCTAGGCCCTGATCTTCCTTCAGAAATACTTACAAGGTAAACATGGATCTTCGTTCCAATCAGGTGGAGGATTCTGGAAACTTGCATCACCCTGTTCAATGGAAATAACTGCAGAAAGCTAAAATTTGCTCAATGAATAGGAGGGAAGAGTTCATTATTCTCAAGGATAAAAGAGAAACTACCATTCCTCTACACTTTTAGTTGAGGCAAAAAACTCCTATTTCTTTTCAATATGAAGGTTCAGTCTGAAATATTGCTGCATTACTCCTCCATTATAGAAACAATTGGCTAACAATGTTAATGATGAATGCATTAAAATTCAAAAGCAGATTTATTTTTATTTTTTGTGAATGAACCGAATAAGTCATCTTCAATTTCATTTGCCTGAGGAAGTAATCCTACTCTGAATCCTACACTGCAAACTACAGCGCACTAAGAACTCGCTAGAAGCAAAATCCTACAACATAAAGACTAACCAAATTACATAAGCTATATATTTTAGCCATAAAACTCTAGGCCAAAAAAGAAAGAATGGTAAAATACCAAATCATTTACCCACCAAAATTAGAACAAAGGAAACATGCATTATATGCTGTGAAGGCTACTGATAATGGTTAATTTGTTACACAAAAAGCATTATAATCTACTCTGAAATTAATGGAGAATTAGGGGTGTTTCTTAGAATTAGTTCATTTTGCTTAACTAGTTTTGTATTTTTGCATAGGTAAGGACCTAAGTGCATAACTGTTGGAAAAGAGGGGCTTTAGGAACAAAAATTAGGCTGCTAAAATCAAATTTTGCTGAGCTGGTCAAAGATATCTCCAAGACACAATTTAATGAGTGTGTCCCATCCAAGGGCATGCTTGTCCCCTTGGTTAGACTTCCAACCGCCCATGATGATCAATGTTGCAGCTGATACCAGTGCTAGAGAAGGGCAAGCGACCAGTCAATTCTCGGATTCAAGACACAAAGCATTGAGAGGAATAAATAATTCACAAACATGGGGAGACTATCTTGGAAGAAGAACCGGCTTCAAAACTCTATAAAGGGAGCTGCATTCCCAGCATGAAGGGGGATCTGAGTGGACATACAACACACAAAAACACCACAGAGAGAGAAGAAGAGAGCGGAGAGGGGAGAAAACTCCAAAGGAAGAAGAAGTCCAGTAGCAGAAAAAGAGGAGTAACAGACCTCACTCGCCTGAGTGACCTGACCTGCTGCTCAGCCATCCAGATTTGCTTCTTCTCAATGCTTTCCTTCTTTTCTTGTATTTTCTGTAGTTTGTATGTGTAGTTAATTAGATTTCATTCTCTGGAACCTATGTAGTTTAAGTTTGTGACTGCATTCGGATGATTTTGTGTTTGAAGTTAAAGCTTTCGTCTACCTCTTGACTAAATTGGCCATTTGATTGATTGTGCACAGAACAAAGTGAATCCCGGAAGGGTAAAAAAGGTTCAGAATCATTTAGCTTCAACTTATGACTTGGAGGTAATAGTCCAAGGTTCTAATTGAGATAGGAATATACTTGGTTAGCATAAGCATTCATATAAGGCTTGAAAACTTAATGACTTTATGACT